CCAGCCCCATATCCCGACAGACATCCTCAAGTCTCCTCCAGATGTCTGCTGTCATGTCTGTATCGCCTGTTCACGAACTGAAGACATTCATCATTGACGGTGTTCAGCATACTCCGTGTTGAGCGCAACCTATAAATGAATCGTGCTAATGTTGTACACATACTTATAGTTTACACTTGTATACTGTTGGCGTTCATTACATTCAATGCAAATAACTGATAACCAAATGTTTCTTAGCACACTGGTCTTCTTAAAGTGCAGGACGACCGATATTGTACATACACAAATGAGGTCTACTTCTATTGACAACGTTCATATTGGTAGCTATGTTTTAAGGCACAAAACTATTTCTCATTTTGTACAGACTATCAATTTTTGTTTGTGAATGTTTATTGATAATTTCCATCATCTTTGAAGTGGCAATTATGCAGAACTTACATTTGTTGATATCCAGAGGTCTTTGACTATTGAGTGGTGATGTTGATATTGAAGCCGGGATGGTTGTTACTTGATTTTTCATCATGTTGAAATAAATCTGTTGTTAATGAAAGTATCTTGCTTACCTCTTGTTACTTGAGATCTACAAATAGCATTGGTTTGATTATGTTCAAAGCTTTTAGAAGCTATTATCAGGGGCCAAAGAAAAGATGGCTGCTATGTATCCTATGGTACATTCGCACGCAGGCGACCTTTCATCAGTATGACATGACAACTTCTTTTATTCATTGCAACGATATAGAGGAAATTATTGTCACTTCATCGGGTGAATGCTGAGTGAGCGTAAATATATATCCCATATCAGTGGACCAGAGATCTATACCCCAAGTTCCAAACTTGTGCCCTGACTGTCGACCCCAAATTTATACCCCATCTTCCAGGCTTGTGCCCCGACAGTGGATCCCGATTTACACCCCAACTCCCAGGTTTGTGCCCTGTCAACATACCCCAACTAAAGAACACTGATTTATACCCCGAGTTTGTTCTATGAAGGTGTCAATGACTATTGTTGAACAGACATCAAAGGCCTTATCAAAGTGTAAATTTCCTGCCAAATGTACCGATTTCTAAACCAATTTCTACCACGCTGCCATGTGAATTCCATGTTAAGATGTTGTCCATTGGAACCAATGCTGGCCAGAAGAGACGATTTAATGCATGGGCCATGTGGTGAGATTCGGTGACTGTTGGTTGCATTTCATCGTACCCCAACGACGTGGATCGTTGTTCGTAATATTAGTCACTGGATTTTCTGGTCCAGACGGGATTATTTGGGAGTCATTGTCACGAAGTACAGACAATATATGCAAATAACTGATAGCCAAATGTTTCCTAGAACACTGATCTCCTTAAAGTGCAGGACGACCGATATTGTACATTCACAAATGACGTCTACTTCTATTAATAACGTTCATTTTGGTAGCTATATTTTAAGCACAAAACTATTTTTTCATTGTGTGCAGACTATCAATTTTAGTTTGTGAATGTTTATTGATAATGTCCATCATCTTTAAATTTGCCATAATGCAGAATTGACATTTGTTGTTATCCACAGGTCTCCAGTGGTGATGTCGATATTGAAACCGGAATGATTGTTACTTGATTTTTTATCATGTTGAAATAAAACTGTTGTTAATGAAAGTATCTTGCTTACCTCTTAATACTTGGAATCTGATCCCGTGGAGATCTGGGGTGGATTAGGGCTTCAGCAACCCATGCGTGTGGTAAGAGGCGACTGACGGGATCGGGTGGTCGCGCTCGCTGACTTGGTTGATGCATGTCATGGGTCCCAATATTGCTCATGATGTTAATCACTGGATTGTCTGCTCCAGACTGGAGTTATTCACAGACCGGCGTCATATAGCTGGAATATTTTGCCGAGTGCGGCGTTAAACAACAAACAACAAACACGATTCTTTGAACCCGAATTGTCTCCTTGGTAAACAAATCGACGAATACAGTCTAGGAATCCGATCAGCTCAAGTCATTACAGAGACATTCAACTATTCAACTACCCATCGTGTACCATGTTTTCATATTGAGAGGAGTGGAGAGGGAATTGAGCGCAAAAAGGGAGCGGGTAGGCCTTCGAATTGGAGTGTTGGTGATAGAAGGCGATTTGGTATTTAGGCGTCTAATAATAGACGCATAAGCACAGAAAATATTAGGCTGGGAATTATAAATAGAGGAACCGTTCATGTTCCTAAAGAGACAGTAAGAACGCATTTGTAAGGATTGGCAGAAATCACGAGGAATCCCATCACCACCCAGCAAGGTGAACTGGTGTTTGAAGCATAGACATTTCAATTGGGACAATGTTATGTTCTCAAATGAAAGTTCAGTGTGGCTCTATCCAAACTACATAAAATAGAGGACCAAAGGTACAGACAAAACAATTTGCCATCATCGAAAGTACAGTCCTAAATTTCATGTGTGGGTTGGGTTGTCGGGTGCCGCACCAATATGGATGTTTAATGTAACACGACTAGTACAGCGTAGACTGATATTCTACAGGGACATCTCCTTCCAACAGCTCAAGTTTTGTATGGTGACGGGCGGGTATTCCAATAAGTCAATGATCCAAAACATAGAGCGGAGCATTCTCAGGAATGGTTGAATGAGCAATATGTTACGCTCCTGGAATAATCAAGCTGCAGTCCGGACCTGAACCCAATTCAAAATACTTAAGGAATCATAAAGGATTATATCAATAAAAAGAATCTAAAAAATATTTGTGATATGAAAGCAGATGTGGTGAGATATTGAGTCAGTATGAATCATGATTTTATACCTTCTTTGATGGGCAGCATGCCTCGCCGCATTGAAGCATGTGTTAGGAAAAGAGGTGGTTCAAAATATTGAACAGTTTCTGTCCTGTAGCTTTAGGTTAGCAGTATTTGTTGGACAAAGTTATCTCTTGGTCAGTGACTTAATACATCTTTAATTTACATTGATCTCATCAAAATAATGTCCGGTCAAACTTTTATTGGCAATGAAATGAATGAGGCGTTCGTAAAATGAAACTGGTACATCAAAATTATGATCCTCGCAGTTTACCCGATGGTATTGACAATGGTCAACCAAGGTCCAATATTGCCTGGATGCCCAATACCTGACATCATATTCATACAGATGTGTTTCAAGGAAGGTTAGGATATTCCAGTTGTGCCTCGTACGGATTTTGGGCTATGCGTGATCGCCAGATACCAACAATGCAGTGCTTGTCGAATGCGGCACGTGTCCCGTTCTTGCATATAGGCAACAGTGTTGGAAGCAGGCATAAAAGTTTATCCTGTCCGCATTGGGCAGAAGATAGGACGCAAGTCAGGCCGCAGGTTAAGACAGCCAACTAGAAAGTGCTCGAACAATGTAGTCATTCTCGGAAGTGAGTCGACAAGCTTCTAACAGCGGAGCTCACCATGGTGGGATGGCAACGAAGGTGTCAAACGCATGTCAAGCATTTTTATGAGCGCCTCGTCAGAAATAATTTTGCTATAAATACTGCGACAAAATAGTTTTGTCTCCTATTTAAAATTGCTATGCGAGGAAGTCGTAACTCCATTGCTCAATCCCATCTTCTGTGTACTCGATTGTGACATAACGATACGCAAAGACCACCCGATAACAACAAGAAACTGGTCTACTCTCAATACAAGGACTGAGTTCCCCAAAACATTTTTATTAATTTTGTAACTTTCTTTGAACCTCTGGTGTCATCACGTTTTCACACAAAATGGTCTCATCACTGACTTTCAGTGATCCATGCATATTATTATCGGAACTATTTTGCCTTTTACGCCAAATGGAATCTCTTTTGGCGGATAATCGATGGATATTTCCAGGCCCAGGCGTAAATGCACACATCACGCCCATGAAGTCAACATACGCTTGAAGCTGTGTCAACAATTTCAAATATTCCATATCCATGTTTGAGAGCTCCTGTTTACAGCCCTAGACAATTGACCAAAATGTTTGTATATTTGATAGATTGTGACACAATGGTTGCACAGTAACCAACAACAGGACAGTTGTTATTGTATTAAACTCATTTATTGACTTTAACGATATGTATAGTTCATACAATCTACCATGTCTCCTGAGACAAGCTTGCTTTTAAGTACGTGAATTCCAAGCACCAATTTCTCGTGTTGGTGGTTGCGTTAACATTTATGATACGTTTATATATATGTGACATAACGATAGTTTATATTTATAATCGTATCATAAACGTTAAAAACGTTGTAAACGCTTAAGTCGTGTGGTCAGATGAAGTGTCAGTTGTACCACTTGTATGTTGTTTGTTGGAAAAGGTTACAGCTGTGATTAATTTGATTGAATGTCCATAGTAGCTTACAGTACGGTGGCCCATAAGGGACATGGAGTCTGTTTTTCCATATTTTGATATTTCAATTACTTTTGTCGTTACCTTTTGCAAATTAACACGATTTGTCTTAGAAATATGTGATAAATCATGTGTAAAGAAGATATTGAATCGCAGAAAAGTGAAACGAAACTGTCAAAAAAACAAAAATGAAAATGTCAAAAACTAAAATGAAAATACAGAAAACTATTTCCACCGCGGTGATAATATTTACACTGAGGTGAAAACTATTTCCACCGCGGTGAAAACTATTCCCACCGCGGTGATAATATTTACACCACGGTGAAAACTATTCCCACCGCGGTGATAATATTTACACCACGGTGAAAACTATTTACACCGCGGTGGAAATAGTTTTCTGTGGTTTCATTTTAGTTTTTGACATTTTCATTTTGGTTTTTGACATTTTCGTTTTGGATTTTGACATTTCCAATTTAGTTTTTGACATTTTCGTTTTGGTTTTTGACATTTCCATTTTAGTTTTTGACATTTTCGCTTCACATTTCAGCGACTCAATAGCTACTTGAAAGTACATTTTGCATGTTTTCGGTTGTTTTTATACCATTTATTACATATTTATATGACAAATTGTGTTAATTTGCTAAAGGTTACGATAAAAGTAAGTGAAACATCAAAATATGGATAAAAAGACTCCATGTCCCTTATGGGCCACCGTATTATAGTGTTCTCAATCCTGCGCGCTTACACTTAGTTGTCACATAATTGAAAGACTGCACTTACACGTTACTTCAGAATGACTAGTTTTATAACATCATTTGAAAAGTAATTTAATACAACCAGATTTCCATCATTCGAACTGAGACAGATCCCTCTATCAAGATGGAGTCAGGTTCTGACCCTGGCACCCTCTCGGTGAAGTTTAACATGCTCTTGCCATCGATATTCAGCTGGAAGAAAAACAAAGATCCACCAAGAATGTTATTTTGCCGGGGATATCCTTTTATTCTTTGGGAAACACACAATTGAATAAAACCTACATCAAAAGAACAAAGTCAGTGCTGACTGGAGATGTGTATATTGTCTTCTCGTTTGAAACCAATACTTTCTCCATGAACACCCATGACCTGTGTGCATGCTTTGATGTCAAATAATGCAACATATAGGATTAAGATGTTTACAGAGGAAGAAATCTGCTAAAACCACGATTTTGCTGTATCAACCTTTGACTTGACTCTAAAAGCTGTCCGTCCCTGTGTTTGTACTGGATTCTAAGCTCTATAACACTCCGTACCAAGAGAGAGAGAGAGAGAGAGAGAGAGAGAGAGAGAGAGAGAGAGAGAGAGAGAGAGAGAGAGAGAGAGAAAGGGAGATATTGCGGGGTCCAGGAAATGTACCACGAAATCCCTGTTTCCAAGATTAACATTAATCTCCAATACAATCAAGGAGGGGCGTCCATTATATTCACAGAAAATATTTCAGACAAGTGGAATTGTTAGCCTGTGAATTCTCAAAAATTCAAAAAGAATTACTTGAATTTTTGCAGTCTCAGATAAAAGGTCCCCAAAGTTCAAATCCGTCGAAACATTTAAGTTATTACAGCACTACCTAGAGACATGTGGCTTTTGATACTTCAGAGGTTTACTGAGAAAGCAATATGTGAAGTGCTGGACTTCGTCATTGATAACTTCTTTGTGACATTTTGGGCCATTTAGGCAAGTAGACATCCCCATGGGCACCATTTGTGCTTCCATTCTTTCTGTCAAAGGCAAGTCAGTTGTGCACCTAAAAACCAATAGGAGCGGTCGGGTAGCCCCGTGGTTAAAGCTTTCACTCGTCACGCCGAAGACCCGGGTTCGATTCCCGACATGGGTACAATGTGTGAAGCCCATTTCTGGTGTCCCCCGCCGTCATATTGCTGGAATATTGCTAAAAACGGCATAAAATCACTCACTCACTAAAAACCAATACGACTTCCGTAACAGCTACTGAACGTTTCACTAAGGCCTTGAATGATGTAACCCTGGTCAAACAACTGTTGAGCAAGAGTTGTATGACGCACTTATAATGACCACTGACTGACATCATAAGCAACGCTCGACACCGTTGATGTTCGGCGACATACATTGAACACAGTCACTTAGTCTGACCAAACATGGCGTCATCCTTGGTCTGTCAGCGCCAGACCCTTTCTTGAATGGTTAAATGTCTAATATGCTCCACTGTGGGAATACCTCACACACTCGTGTTTAAACGTTTTAAAGGATAATTTGTCTAAAATAAGAGCAAATTTCTTCTGAAGTTTACTGAGAAAGCAATATGTGAAATGCTGGACTTCGTCATTGATAACTTCTCTGTGAAATAATGGGGAAAGATATTTAGGCAAGAAGTAGGCATCCCCATGTGTACCGTTTGTGCTTACTTTCTTTCTGATCTGTTTATATTTATTTCGCATATGAATCGAAATTTCTTCCCGGATAAGGAAAACCAAAACAGGGGGATTTGGCCAAGTAGTCTAACCAGTGAAACTGCCTCATCTATTGTATGTTAAGATCTGTTCATAAAGATTCCGAGTGACTAAAACACTTCACAAGACTGGGGACAAGAGGGGTGACCAATAATTAACTTTCCTACGTTTATGACGAGGAATATTCCAGCGCGCGGCTCAAGCCTTTGGTGTCTTCATTTCACAACTTTGTTAAGATACAATTATGCTCCTTCTACGAGGCCTTCAAAGAGCGTCAAAGAGCGACTGTTAAGAAGTCGTTTGTTCAAGGCTACAACATTCAAGGTTTCAAAAAAGCTGACGTGTTTATGGCAGACACATGGAGGACATTTACAAAATTTGACACATCAGTTACAAAAATTATGTCCGATGCAATTACTTTTCACTTGTGCCAAATGCTCCCGTCTTTTTGTTTCAGATGAGCAACTGACTTGCCTTTGTATGTGTTTGTGATAGGTGGCACCCAGCAGGGTGGAGGATACGCTCGGCTTTTCGCGAACACCTGGTATTATCATTATTTGAAAGTGATTCAAAAACGCATTGTCGTGATATGGTCTGACTCGACTATGGTTTTGGCAGAGATTTCTTATAAATTAGGAAAAGACTCGTCACTATATAAATTGCCATACTGTAAAATACTCACAGAAAGACCCGTGAAGATACGGGCTAGAATAGGTCTTCAGCAACCCATTATTGCCGTAAAAGGCGACAATGCTTGTCGTAAGAGGCAACTTAAAGGATTGAAGCATGTCATCGATCCCAATTGCGTGGATCGATGCTCATGATATCAATGACTGGATTGTCTGGTCCAGACTCGATTATTTACAGATCGCCGTCATATGACTGTAATATTGCTGTGTGTGGCGTAAAACAACAAAACAACCAACCAACTGACAGAAAAGACTGTTACATTGAACGGAATCTAAACCTATGACAACAGACATCCCTCCAAACCTGTAATTCAAATAATTTACTATAGTATATGACCACACGTGTTAGGCCGTTCAGAAGTGTGGTGAAAACCTCGTCATGAAGTAACAAATGTATACAGAAAAATGTTAAGCACACCCTGATATATTTCATTATTGTTTGGTCCCAATATTTGAAAGATATAATTACGGGAAGAATTATGTTTCATGGAGATGATGTAATCAGTCAAAACAGACGAAGGCTTACGTGCCATGCATGGTATGCCCGTGCAGCATGCTACCCTCGAGTATCTCTAAAAGCAGTATATCCAAATGTCAAAATTACTTTCTTAAGCTCGGTTTTAAACAGTTATTCCATGACATTGTGTGACCATGGAACGAAGGTGATTATCAAACAAGATGGCAAATATTCGGCATGCATAACGCAGGAATGTCTTGTAATGTCATTGTCGGAATTTGATGTATCATCACACTGTCGTAAGTCCTTTAGTCGAAAAACATGCTCAGACCGGTGATGTCCAGGACCGTCCCAGATCCGGAAGACCTCCTGAGACGACACATCGCGAAGACAGGGACCTTCTTCGTCCCACAGGCCGAAAACCCTTTTAACTCGTCTGGAACAGCTGTGGTTGCCCAATGGTCGTTTAGGCACCAGAACCTTCAGGAACCGGCTGAAAGCTGGACTGAGGGCTAGACGAGTCACAAAGCGTCCCTTGTTGGGTGATCACCACAAAGCTGTTCGTTCAGCATGGTGTATTGGTGTATTGCGCGACAGAACTGGAATCTGAGAACTTGGAGACGGATCCACTGGTCAGACGAAAGTCACTTCTGTTTCACGTCACTGATGGAAGAACGAGAATTTGGAGGTACCGGAACACGGCCTACACCCCAGGAACATTAAACCGACTGTTGCATACGGCGGGAGCTCGGTAATAGTTGTATGGGGTTTGTCTCTCATGATTGCAGGTTGGATTTGGTCGACATAAGGGGCAACTTAACAACCACCCTCTTGCTACTCGACCTCAGTACATGGATGACATTGCCAGACTTCATCGTTCGCATGCAGTCGTGGATTACATTAGGGCCAATGCAATAACGACTCTACCCTGGCCAGCAATGAGCCCAGATTTGAACCCCCTGGAACATGTTTGGGATATTTTGGGGCGGCGCATACAGGCACGAGATCCTCCTGTACAAGATTTACGCCAATTGGAAGCAGCATTGCATCAGGGGTGGTTGTTGTTGACCCATCAACAGATCCAACGTCTGACTGGCGGCATGAGACGTAGGGTGGAATGCGTCATCCGGTCATGTGTTGCGGTTATACCCGCTACTGATCTGTTTCACGTGTCATGTCAAGTAGAGACAAGGAATATTTTCACATGAAACATCAAACGTATCTCGTTTACTTAATCTTGCAGCTCCATACGTTGTTTAGGCATTGTCTAAGGTCAAACACCGTACCAGTGTTACCATAATATTTTTTGTCAGTAAATTTCAATCACAATTCACCAATATCTTTTTTATTTGTGATCAAATGTTTGTTCTATCCGATGACATTGGTATCGCCCAGCTACTGTGGTCAGCCAACCCATGCCATGATTTTTGCCATTTGTCATGGTTCAAAAATAAGGATGTGCTTAACTTTTTCCTTTGTGTATATATGTTGAAGAATAAGAGGTGAACATATGAGCTACTGGTTTTGGCAATGTCTACATTACTCATGCAATAATCTACCATTGGTGACAGTTAGACGTGAATAAAGTCATAGGCACTTACCCTGTATATTCCAGTGTGTAGTGTTATCTGGACCTCTGTTTCTTGTCCTATGTTCATGGGTAGATCATCAACAGTACGCTCCTCACCCCATTGTCCATTGACTTGATCGTTCATGACTGTTACGTTTCGAGTTACACCGAACTCATATCGGAACTCTGACAAGGCAAGTAAATCTGCACCTTTCCACAGCCATATGTTCCATCTGTAGGTAAAAGTTTCACAGGTATTGATTGAAAAGGATGTCGGGGATTATAAACAATCCTTATATATGTATTAAGACAACGATTAACAGATGTGTACATCCAGACTTGGATTATTACAAATTCTAACTTTTTATCTCATTACAGTGCAATGAAAGTATCTCTCTTTGAACCAGAATCTTACATCAACAACCCAGAGGTTCAAAACCAACGAAGAGTTTTCTGTTAATATAGAATATATTTACATAACTTTAAGGTAAATAGATCAAGAAAAGGGCCTAAGTACTCAATTCAATTCAATTCTTTATTGTATGAAAGACCACAGGCCCATATACAACTTAGTTACATAACATATTTATGAGAGACAAAGTCAAGGTAACAATTCACTTCGTAACAAAATGCATGTTGTATGTACAAAGCCAGTTGATGTTGTATTAGAAGATCCTTGCAGGACAGTAATGAAAACAATCTTATAGCAGCATTAAAATGAGATAAAGACCACTGCGGTAAGTACTTGTTTCTTAGATTTTTGTATGTAGGGCAAATAAACATAGAATGGTATTCATCTTCGACAACAATGTCGCAGAATGGGCATAACCTTAGGGATTTCTCAACAGATGAAAATCTCCCTGTGTTAATTTTTAGATCATTCAGGCCAAGTCTCAAACGAATAATGATGTTACGAAAATTCCTGTACCTTAAGTTAGAAAAATAAGATTCTGGTTCAAGCAATGACTTGAACTGGCGATAAGTAACATATCTTGAACTTTCGTAAATATCTGAATGCCATCTCTGATGAAACATATCAATGGCACTCATGTGAAAGTACGTACTGAAAGCATTAGCATTACCAATTGTCTGGGACAGCCAAATGAAACCAAAGTTATATGTAAAAGCAATGTACGTATACAAGAAGCCCATGTGTTCTTTCCAAGACTATCGAGGTGTACAAGTATGATGTAGGCTTGCTCAGGTAAACGGGGTTCAGGCATTATTATTATTTTACACCAATACTTCAAGCAACGAGTGTAAGGTACATGTACAATGTACAATGGGAATATCCCGCATTCTCCATAAACTAAATTAGTTGGTGTTGACATACCAACATTCAAAAACCTCTTCAAGCGAGAAGATGAACCTTCTTAATTGTATAGAACTCTTTACAACCCCATATCACAGACTCATATAGTAAAATAGGTTGTATTTGAGAAGCAAATAATTTGAAATACATTTTCGGTGAAATAAGTTCAAGCTTAGAGATAATAGAGTGGACTTGCAACAGAGCTTTCTTTGCTCTGTTAGTGAGATTAATTACAGACTTATTCTGATTCTGTGTATGGGTAAACAATATGCCTAGGTATTTGTATTTATTCACAACATTAATACATTTACCTTTAAAAAAACCCATTTCACTCTTGAGGCCACTCGACCACCTCTACGAAATATAACAATATTTGTGTTACGGTCAAAATAACATCTCTAAAATTATTTCTATTTATTTCTCCAAATTATTAAAGTTTAAATTTTTTCTTTAATTTTCATTCCAAATTTAGCATGTAAAAGATTATTATTTTATGCATGCTTCAGGAGTTTTAGCCAAGGAATGTTGCTCTGTTTAGGCTTCATGCCATGCATGCATTTTAGTTTCTGCGAGGAGAGAATGAGGACCCATGTGGTCAGTAATAAAAAAGAAAGAAGTGAAAGTTAGAACAGAATATGGGTCTACCACAATGTTAATCATCCAATTCCAAAGAAGGTATTTATTGATAATTGATGATGATGAGATGGGAATGAGAATGGAGATGGTAGATTTGATACAGGATGAATTGACTTTCATTGTGATCCTTACAATTTGTTTTATCAAGAATAACACTAAGTTTCCATTTATCTGAATATTCCAAGTATGTCAAGCTGCTTCTGTAGACCATTAATAGTACATGTACTAGACATAAGAATCACATCATCTGCAAAAAGTAGCATTGAAAGTTCTATTATGCGAGGGAAGAGCTGGACGCCATGTCTACCAGCCTGCATGATATTAACATTTATTAAAAAAATGAGTATAGGACTTAAAGCATATACTTGGCGAGAAACAAAAAAAGTCACTTTAAGTATCACCACAGCGAACACATGATTTTATTTTTGCATACACTGATTTAACAATGGCAAACATTTTGCCTCCTAAACCCTTATTTTTCAAACAACTCCACAATCTAGCTCTACGTACAGAATCAAATGCCTTTGAAGATCCAAGGTAGAATAGGTCTTCAGCAACCCATGCTTGCCGTAAAAGGCGACTATGCTTGTCGTAAAGGGCGACTAACGGGATCGGGTGGTCAGGCTCGCTGACTTGGTTGATGCATGTCATCGATCCCAATTGCGTGGATCGATGCTCATCATATCAATCACTGGATTGTCTGGTCCAGACTCGACTATTTACAGACCGCCGTCATATAGCTGGAATATTGCTGAGTGCGGCGTTAAACAACAAACTACCCAACCGTCTCAGAAGGACGTGATTCCACAGTGTTTCGCAGGAATGAGATACAAGGGTTTCCACACTGTCTTTCTCGCAAGATTGAGTGACCTGGGTAATTACAGAACATTTTAATAACACATATCACACGTTTCGACATAAACGTATAAGTGTCTGTTATTAAAAAATGGTGAAATCTAGAGAAGCATACTTCTAATTTCTTAAAAAGTTACATCATTCAAGGCCTAAGAATATTTTTTCTAACAGTTCATATTCAAAGCATCAGGGACAAAAATGTCTCATATAATCACCTCTTTTGTCTTGAACCATATGTTCCTGTGATTCTTTTTTCAGGTGAACCATTGACTTTGTGATGTGCATTAAGGTGTGGTAGGATACCCTGGGGAAGGATACTATCACAGGTGGGGCAGGATACCCTCACAGGTGGGGCAGGATACCCTCACAGGTGGGGCAGGATACCCTGGGGCAGGATACTATCACAGGTGGGGCAGGATGCCCTCGCATGTGGGGCAGAATACCCTCACAGGTGGGGCAGGATACCCTGGGGGAGGATACCCTCACAGGTGGGGCAGGATACCCTCACAGGTGGGGCAGGATACCCTCACAGGTGGGGCAGAATACCCTCACAGGTGGGGCAGGATACTATCACAGGTGGAGCAGGATACCCTCACAGGTGGGGCAGGATACCCTGGGGGAGGATACCCTCACAGGTGGGGCAGGATACCCTCACAGGTGGGGCAGGATATCGTCACAGGTTGGGCAGGATACCCTGGGGCAGGATACCCTCACAGGTGGGGCAGGATACCCTGGGGCAGGATACCCTCACAGGTGGGGCAGGGTACCCTCACAGGTTGGGCAGGGTACTCTCACATGTGGGGCAGGATACCCTCGCAGGTGGGGCAGGATACCAACTAGGTGGGGCAGGATACCATCACAGGTGGGGCAGGATACCCTGGGGCGGGATACCCTCACAGGTGGGACAGGATACCCTCACGGGTGGGGCAGGATACCCTGGGGCAGGATACCCTCACAGGTGGGGCAGGATACCCTCACAGGTGAGGCAGGATACCCTGGGGCAGGATACCCTCTCAGGTGGGGCAGGATGCCCTCACATGTGGGGCAGAATACCCTCACAGGTGGGGCAGGATACCCTGGGGGAGGATACCCTCACAGGTGTGACAGGATACCCTCACGGGTGGGGCAGGATACCCTTACAGGTGGGGCAGGATACCCTGGGGCAGGATACCCTCACAGGTGAGGCAGGATACCCTGGGGCAGGATACCCTCTCAGGTGGGGCAGGATACAATCACAGGTGGGGCAGGATACCCTCACAGGTTGGGCAGGATACCCAGAGGCAGGATACTCTCACCCTAGCAAACACCTGGTATCACCCCTATTTGGTAGTTATTAATATACACATACTTATGATATCTTTGAAATCGTACAATGAACTAAATGTTATGTCACTTTTACTTGCATAATTTAAATAGAAGGACATGAATAACTTTTTGTCGCTTTTATAAAATACTCGTCATCCTTACCTCGTAGCTTGGTTCGGTGTGCCAATGACAGTTGCTCTGAACTTGCTTGATGGCCCACATGGAAGTGCTTGTTTTTCTTTCAGGGTCTACCAAACACATACATTGCAAGACATTTAAGTAACACCAAAATATTTTACAAGAAAGACATGCTTTTTCGTAATGCTTTATGGTTACTTTTTTAGGGCGCGGGATACCTTCACATAACTTGAATTAGTCTTTTTAGTGTCTATTTGTAAAATGATAAAATACATACTGACTTGGTGATTTTACATACCGGGTTATGCCAAATGTACTGTTTACACAGGCCAGCCGTCAAATTCTCCCATTGTCCAGACGATTGACAGATGCTGGTAACCTTGTCATAACAGGCCCTGAAGTCTTGTCTGCAGGCATACATGTAGGTTGTTACACTGCCCAGGTAGTGACCCTCGTACGTTTTGGTGGCGTTTGTCACTTCTGGGGGCTGGCCACACCCTTGGAACTCTGAAAGATAATCCAGAGTGTAACAATAATTCCACAGTTGGATGTTTATCATGAGCGATATGAAAACAACAAAGGGAAAGTTCTTGAATTGTTGCAGAAAGAATGGGACAGAGTATGTCAGATTGAAGAAGAAATCTCTAACAAGCGATTAGAGAAAACAAGAAATGGCATACAAACTATGCCTTAAAAGTGAACTCAAAAGAAAAAGAAAATCCCTCCATAAAAAATCTAAGAACTGAGGGGAAATCCTATGCTGATGTGGCAAAAATAAAACCACCCCAGTCACATTCTGTGAATCTGACTCGCAGAGGTCCTCCAACACAGAACTGTACATTCAGAGGAAGCACAACTTTCCGGGGACGGGGACCCACCCGAACAATCAGCATCACTCAAGGCAGATCTTTAAACCAAAGGAGACAGCAAGGCCAAGGTCGCCAAAGAAGTCCAAACCACAATCGTCTGGGCCAAGGACATGCCCGCGATAACAAGCGAGGACATTTCCAAACTCAAGGGCGTGGTCGAGATCGAAATGAAGATTGATATCAACGGTTAAATAAAATGACTATAGTTCTTTTTTAGTGACAGCGAGTTTCCCCCAGGGAGGAGAAACTCAACAATAGAACCTAGAGTGATCAACTTATCTTGTGTAGATCTGACAGAGGAGGACATTTCTGTATTACTTAAAGACATGAAGTTCACCCCTTCTCCATTGGAACAGGATTTATATGAACTAGAAACAGATATTTCTGATATTTGTAGAAAATGGAGATTACTAAATCATTTTGATATTTATGCCAATAACGAAGATACTTCATTAGTTAGAAACCTTCACTCCAAAACGTGGTAGTTACAAAGTGTTAGACAATGTTATTAACCGCCTCAAAGATTTACCCTTTACTGTAAACCCTCAAAGAGATAAATCAAACATAAAAAAAAATGAACGAGCGGCTCTAAACAGATTATCAAACAACGAGTCAATTATTATTAAAGAAGCTGATAAGGGAGGTGCTATAATAATTATGGACAGTAATTATTACCAAGAACTCTCATTGAATATGTTAAAAGATGAATCTTGTTACAGAAAGCTTTCAGACAGTTCGGAGAAATCTGTATTACTTAAAAAGATTAGTATATTCACATTCTCAATGCCTTACTAAAAACGAAGAGGATTATTTAATTAAATTTGAATCGAAAGAAAGTAATGTGTATGGCCTCCCTAAAGTCCATAAGATCCAAGAAAAATGTCGAACATTGAATTCTGCTTATGTCAAAATACCCTTCCGTGAATGATTTTTAACTACGGCCAATATTTGCGGGACCCAAATGTCCCACAAACAGAATCAGTGACCTTATGGATAAAGTGCTAAAACCAATAACTAAACATGTCGAGAGCTACATAAAAGATACCACTGATTTTCTGAACCAACTTCCCGCTTCAGTCGAAAATGGTACAAAGTTAGTCAGTTTTGATGTAGTCAGTTTACATTCAAACGTTCCCCATGATCTCGGCATAGAAGCTATTGAATACTGGATAAATAACACCGTTCGCAAATCCGAGAAGACGATACCTCGGAATTCATGATCGACCGTATTAAATTTATTCTAAACAAAAATACTTTTAATTTGGATGGTTCTCATTACAAACAAGTTAAAGGCACAGCAATGGGGACAAAAATGGCCCCTACTTATGCAAACCGTGTACTTGGTTATTTGGAGGAAAAACTGTACTCAAAAACTGATGAAAAATTCGGCATTGAATTTGGACAGGGATTCAAAGATAAATGGAAAAGATTTTTAGATGGTTGTTTTGTTCTGTGGAATCGGAAGGAAGACGATCTACAGTGTTTGATAGATATTTTACAGACACTCCATCCAAGTTTAATCTTTACTTTAGAGATGAGCGATACCACTCTATCGTTTCTAGATGTAATGGTTACAATTTCAAACAATAACATTGAAACAGATGTATATTACAAACCAACCGATTCCAAGCAATACCTCAAATTACAATTCCAGTCACCCCCGTCATACTAAAAACAGTGTCCCCTACTCATTAGTACGTAGATTGTGCGCGATAGTATCTAATTCAGATCGTGCACAATATAGACTCGATGAACCGAGGGAGTCACTATTAGAGGTGAGGTGAAATGGGGTTTAACGTCGCATGCACGCGTGTGTGTGTGTGGCTGCTTGTACTTTATAGTGCTAGCCCACTGAGATACCATGCCGCAGTCTAACATGAATACCCCACTCAGACACAGTATACAGACTCCGAGCCGACCAGTCCTTGTTTTAGCTCCTAAATGCCGAACGCCAGACAGAGTAACAACAAGTACCATCTTTAACGTCTTTTGGTATGACGCGGCCGGGCATCGAACCCCGGACCTTCCGCTCTCCGGGCGGACACTCTACCACTAGACCACGGAGGCGGTCAGTCACTTTTAGAAAGAAACTACCCTAGAAAAATTGTAGAAGACGCAATAAACAAGGCTTAATCACAAAACCGTTGTGATCTTTTAAAGCCTGAAGATAAACCTAATGAGAGTGTTCTCCCATGTGTTACAACCTTTAATCCCCAAACCCGTAAATATTTGGAAGTGTTCGGGAAACACTGTATTCCTTAAATAAGTGTAAAGAACTAAAACAACAAAATATCACAAAATAAACTTATTAAAAGTAAAAGACAGAGCCAAAATCTGAAACAGATTCTAACTAGGGCTTCTTTCTCAAATGGAAAACAAGAATGTAAAACAGTACCAAAGTGTAACAGACCAATTTGTGGTACTTGCCCTCATGTTTTACAATGTTGTACTTTTACATTCAAAGACGGAAAACGTTCTATGTCCGTGAAAATATGAATTGTGCTTCGACAAACTTGATTTATGTCATACAATGTACTGGATGCAAGGCCGAATACATTGGACAGACAGGGGACACCCTAAGAGCGATAGTGAGGGTCCACCGACAACAAATAAGGGACCCCTCTTGTCGGTGTATCCCACTCAGTCAACACATTGATCAGTGTGCAGGGAATAATGCACCAAATTTTGTGATATTCCCGTTTTACAAATGTGACAATGATGCACTGAGAAAGATGAAAGAATGTTATTTTATTAATACTTTCAAACCAAAATTAAATGGCCTGAAATAATTGGATTATTTTATTCAATTACATGTATTGTACATTTTACTGCCACTACAATACTTATTTCTGTACTTATTGCGTTACGCAACCCGTATGCACCCCGTTGGTCACTCGTGTGATACCCGTGTGCAACGCGTTGAACACGGGTGTGCACCCCGTTCGTCACTCGTGTGCAACGCGTGACACACTCATTACAGGGGGAACAAACGTGTAATAAACATATTTTATTGACATATATGGTCAACGGTATTTGGCAAAAGTTATCCAACTTAGGTGGCCCTTTCCCTACTCTATATGTAAAGACATTGATTATACATATATATAGACATATACATACACCTATACATATACATACATGTACGTATACAGAAATACATACATATACACATAAACATATATATACATAATCATATATACTCATACATACATAGACATACTCATATACATATGCACATATTACATATAAAGTAACAAAGAGAAATATATTTACACAAGAACATAAACACCATGTTTGCAAGATCTCGCGGAATAATTTTTAAATATGGCGAGTGGATCCGAGTAAACTTAGGGATTATCGGCTGTTGTGTGAAAACAATGCTTCAGAAAGATCGACGTCCTGTCCCTGTGAACAAACCTACATATTACGGATTGAACGCCAAAAGTGTGTGTCGGGTTTCTTGTAGCAAAGCTATACATTATTATTATATTAGGCCTTAATCTTATCTTTATTTAAAACTTTCTCCCTCTGTAAAACAATCCATATGTTTTGGTATTATATTTAATATACCCGTATTTACATATATACATCATGTATAATTTATAGTCAACATATATACCTATAAATCTTTACTACACTCAATAATGTAATGTAATGAAATGTACTACATTAAGCCCCCCCCCCCCCCCTTTCCCTACTCTATATGTAAAGACATTGATTATACATATATATACACATATACATACACCTATACATATACATACATGTACCTATACAGAAATACATACATATACACATAAACATATATACACATAATCATATATACTCATACATACATAGACATACTCATATACATATGCACATATTACATATATAGTAACATAGAGAAATATATTTACACAAGAACATAAACATCATGTTTGCAAGAATAACATAGACATACATAAGAAATGCCTATTTAAACACAATTTTTGACAACAAACTTTTGACCAAAGGAGGACCCGTGTTAAGCTGAACTTGGAGGTGGCAACAAGGAGATAATTTTGTTATTTCCTGACGAAAAAGGTTAATACACATTTAATTATATGTACTTGCTGATGTCTCATTTTTAGATGTGATGTTGTTGGAAAATATGAGTACTGTTGTGGCTAGTACGTATATATGATGTTTTGCGATGGTATTAAGAGAATACATGATCCTGTTAAATTTTAAACCCAATTCCAATGGGTTTTTTGTGATTTGACATTTAAACGTACGACTTTCAGTGATCATGTTGATGAGGTTTGGCAGAGCATTGTTTTTATAGCATCTAATTACTTTAAGATGGTTGGGTCTCTTTGTCTCAGCTCCATAGCCGTGGCAATGGGAAAGGGCGGCATTTAATTAATGAGAGTAGGTTTTTTCATGGAGGATACACTTGAGGGAGAGGGTTCTACTAATTACCGTACCACAGGAAGAGACCTGTAGACGTGAGCGCGGGGTTGTGTGTAAGATGGCCGTTGCATAATGGGCGCCTGGAGAGGTAAACATTGAGCTCCAGCAGTGTTGTTTTCACGGGCTTGTTGAATAAACTCCCAGCGCTACTGTCAATATATCTTCTACCTGATCTAGATACATCATTTTGGCATTTACAGTATA